CATTTCTTTTTTTTTTTCTCTCTCTTTCTCTCTCTCTTATCTTTCTATCTCTCTCGCTCATTTCTCTTCTCTTTCTGTCTCTCTCTTTTTCTGTGTCTCTCTCTCGCTCATCTCTTTTCGCTCAATTTCTCTCTTTTTTTGTCTATCTCTCGCTCATCTCTTGTTTCTCTCTCTTTTTCTATCTTTCCATCTCTCTTTCTTTCTCTTTATCTCTTTTTCTGTCTATCTCTCTCTCCCTGTCTCTCTCTCACTCATCACTCTTCTCTCTCTCTGTGTCTATTTGTCTATTTGTCTATTTCTCCCTCACTATGTTCGCCTTGCTCACTGTCTTACTCCTATCTTCTCTATTTATCGAGCTCCTTCTCGATTTATCGATCCACTATAAGAAAATACACTTTTAGCAGCCACTTTGTCTATCTCTCTCTCTCGCTCATCACTCTATCTATGTGTCTCTCTCTATCTCTCTTCTTTATCTGTCTCTCACAAAATTAAAATATTTTTAAAATATTTAAATATTTAAAATATTTAAAAAATTGATTTGAATTAAGTTTTGAACAGAGTTTTGAATTATCTGTCTTCTTTATTTATTGAGCTCCCTATCGATTTATCGATCCACTACAAGAAAATGCACTTTTAGCGACCACTTTGTCTCTTTCTCGCTCATCACTCTGTCTCTCTATCTCTTTTCTCTATTCGTCTCTCACTCATCTTTCTCTCTCACTACCCATCTTTTCTACCACATTTACCACTACTGCAAATGCCATTCAACTACCACCACTCTTCTCTTTCTCTCTTTCACTCATCACTCTTATTTCTCTGTCTGTTTGTCTATCTATCTGTTTGTCTGTTTTTCTGTGTGTCTTTCGTTCATCTTTCTTCTCTCTATCTCTCTCATTTGTCTTCTCTCTATGTCTCCCTCGCTCATCTCTCTTCTCTCTATCTCTCTCATCTCTTTTCTCTCTCTGTCTCTCTCGCTCATCTCTCTTCTCTCTATCTCTCTATTTTTCTATTCTCTCTATCGTTCATCTATTTTCGCTCTCTTTCTATGTGTCTCTCTCATCTCTTGTTTATCTCTATTTTTCTATATGTCTCTCTCTATCTATTTCTCTCTCTCTCTCTCTATATCTCTTTCTCTCTTTATCTCTCTCTCGCTCATCACTCTGTCTTTCTCTCCCCCTTATCTGTCTCTCACTCATTTCTCTCTCTTACCACCCATCTCCTCTACCACCTTCACCACTACTGCAAACACCATTCCACCACCACCATTACTTCTATTGTAGCCACTTCACCTCTACCACTACCATTACTACTACTATCGCCACCACTCCACTACCACCACTACCACTACTACTACCATTACCTCTCTTTCACCCACTACAAGAAAATACACAATTGGCGACCACTTTTGCCGACTAAAAATATTTTGGTTGCCAAAAGTTGTGGAATTGGCGACCAAAAATTATATTAGTCGGTAAAAGTACAATATTTAGCTACTAAATTTTTTTGGTCGGCCTATATTAATTTTTTGCGACTAAAAAAAAATTTAGTCGCTTAAAATCTCACAATTGGCGACTAAAAAAAATTTAGTCGCTAAATTTGCCACAATTGGCGACTAAAAAAATATTTTTGTCGCTGTATATATAGTTTTGGCAACTAAAATAATTTAGTCGCTGAAAGAAAAATAAAAATTTATTTTTTATCTTTCGCGACCAAAAGCTTGGTCGGCAAAAATTTAATTTCAGCGACTAAAAGACATTTTTGTCGTTGTATGTATAGTTTTGGCAACTAAAAAAATTTCGTCGTTGAAAGAGAAATAAAAATTTCTTTTTTATCTTTCGCGACCAAAAGTTTGGTCGGCAAAACTTTAATTTCAGCGACTAAAAGACATTTTCGTCGCTGTATGTATAGTTTTGGCAACTAAAAAAATTTCGTCGCTGAAAGAAAAATAAAAATTTATTTTTTATCTTTCGCGACCAAAATCTTGGTCGGCAAAAATTTAATTTCAGTGACTAAAAATATTGTGGTCACTGTATAAATAGTTTTGGCAACTAAAATAATTTAGTCGTTGAAAAAAAAAATAAAAATTCAGTTTCTACCTTTGGCGACCAAAATTTTGGTCGGCACTCCTAATTTCTTTTTCTCATGTTTTTTCTATTACTTAAGGGGATCGAAAAGGCATTGGTAGCATTATATAATGGGTTTTATTGGACTAGGATATGATTTTGAATATTGGTATATTAATTTGGGATTTGATTCCATAGTTTCTTTCTCTTCTGATCTTTTGGTGCTACATCAAGTTTTTTTTTGACCTTTGATAATGATCCTTTTGATATGTTTCCTCATTCTCACACATATTGGGTTATCCACTGGTTCATTGGTCGAAATTTTGGTCAAATACTGTGACAATTTGTTGAATTGATTAAGTTAATTTTTCTTTTTAGTTAATGAAATCTTAGTTTCAAATTTACACCAATTCAGGGTATCCGAATTCAAGGCTTGAGGGTTTTGATTAGGAATTGGATTGAAGGTTCGAACCAGGTTCTAAAATTGGAGCTAAAGCTCATTTACTGTGTCAACTTTTCCCCTTCCTCTTGTACCTTACCAAGAAGGGGAAAAAATTTAGAAAGAAGAGAGAATTGTTTTGTACTATGCCTTGTTACTCATGCCTTGTGTTTGTCTTTGTTTATATGTTTAGAAGAGAGAATTATTTCAAGATTTGGATCCACTATTGTCGAACACTTTCGTACTATCACTGCCCTCTTGCAGGTATGCTTTATATTGTTCATAATAATATTTTGTAATCAGTTTTTTGCCCCACAATTGATGTTTACTGCAGTGTTCTTCATTAATCACTAGCTAATTTGCTTCTCAAAGAACCTACCTTAATTTTCTTTTCCATTCATAATTTATTTTACTAGAAAATGCTGTTTGTCTGAGCTTTTCTTTTGTCTACCAGACATAGGATATGTTCCTTTATAGAGCACAGCAAACAAGGTATATGTTCCACTCTGTCTTGTGGCAGCAAATCGACGGTTCGTGCTATTGCAGCGCTGATTATACTGGTGACCTGTGCATTTATTATTTATATATCTACTGCTGTGCACACGTTTTTGCATTGATCGTGCAAATTCTGAGTTCTACATGTGTGTTACTTGATTATAAGATATGACTAAGAGATTGAAGTAGTATGTGAACTTGGTGGTGTTGATTTGGTGAAAATTGACGGCCTGATTCCTATAAAAAAAAAATTATTTTTTGGGGCTAATTATGATGATTTGGTAAGTATTTACTATTGCAAATTATGCTTATTTGGATATTTTAATTCACAATTGGATGAATTTGCTTATTGAGCTAGCAGAATTATGTTGAAACATTTCTAACTTGGATGCACTATATGCACATTGTTGTGTATTTTTTTAAGTTGTGGAAATTATTAAATCATATTTTGTTTATAATCAATCAAAGTTTTAGGTTTTGTTGAGTTATTAACCCATCAAATATTGGGTTGAAAATTTTTTGTTGGATCTAAAATTGGGTTTGGAAATAGGTAGAAAATATTTGAACTATTACCTTTTAAAAAATATTGACGTGGCGAGCATGAGGTGCTCAAACTAGACATCCAATTCGGGTAGATTACCTTTCTTATTGGCATTCACGAGACAATAATACTACAAACTTACAAAAAATGTGTAGAAAAATATGCAAAATTTGAATTAGATTAATCTCGGGTGTAGCCTATTTAATAATATAATACTAAGGTTTAAATCTATACTACACATTTAAATTTTGAGCAATGTCGTAACATTCCAAGGTGGATGTTTGACCCCTAGACTAATAAGGTTGATAAATACCTAAACAGAATCTAACAGTAGCTTAATCTGAGATCAAGTTTAACCAAGCATCAATCTATGGTCAATAAGTTGCTAGTAAGAAATATAACGCAAATCCCTTTATTTTTATTTATGTTTTTTATATGGTTTCAAAGCGCGGAAACAATATTTTCATATATGGGTAAAAGTTTCGTAGATCTTGCTGGGTTCAAAGCATGGAAACAACATTTCCATACATGGTGGATGGTACTCGTGCACACACACGTCTTTCCTCATATGCCATCATAGTTGGGGATAGCTAATTTTTGAGTTGTCATATGAAAATGAGCAAAACTTGGTCCTAATGACAAGGGTAATGCTGGATAATTAATTCAATGAAGCACTTATTAATTATAATTTCAAATTTTTTCTTATCGTAATTAACAAAATAAGACGATAATAAAAGGAACAGAAACAACTGTAGTGAGCTCAGCTTTGGTTTGAGACTGAACCAGACCAGATGAAATCAAGTTGTACTTCTTGACATAATGGGTCGGTGTTCTTTCCTAGTTATGTAAAACTGGGACAGCTGATTTATTCAAATAATTGGGATCAAGTGAGAGCAATTTGCTCTGGGGCAAATTGAGGTCAAATATCTTGCTCAGTTGCTCCATGTGGACTTGACGGTTAGAGATGTCCATGTGGTGGGAATCATGCATGATGTATCCTGTAGAAAAAAGTGTTGCACCTTTGATGTTTACTTAATATTAACCTGCTTTAGTTTAGTCTGTTGGCATAGTCTGTTGGCATATGTCCAGTCTTGCTTCTCTTGAATTAACACACATTGGCAGACTATTGACTGTTGCTTAAGCAGGTATTTGGTGCTCTAAGGACAACAATGTTCATATTAGGAATGATTTTTGTATTCATAGGCATTTCTTTGCTGGCACCAGACGAGGCAAAAGGTATAGTTGTGGGTCATGGATATAGTTGTGGGTCATGATTTCTGTATTCATAGGCATTTCTTTCCATTAGAGCTATTAGAAATCCAATATTAGAGCTCTAAAGCATTTATATCGTCTCCCTCTCATCTTTCCTAACAACCATAGATCATAAATTATTGCACAAAAAATACAAAAAATAAAAAAAAAAATTAATTTTTAATGTACACCCTGTTTTTTTTATTTTTTCGTAAAATTTTTTTCGTTGCACCTGATTAACTACCATATATAGAGTTAATTGTAATCACATATTAGTATTCTTCTCACAATTCTTTATGATGGACCCTCTGCATGTGAGTTCCTACAAAATAAATTTGTGTATTCTACAATCCAAGACAGGTAGGAACCCTTTAAGTCCAACCCTTCCCACTCCCATCAGACATGAAAAAATTCCCCAGGTATATTACAATAAGAGTTTATTACACTATTTTGGACTACATTGAATTCCATTATTATTATTATTATTATTATTATTATTATTATTATTATTATTATTATTATTATTATTATTTTTTGTGAGCAGGGAAAGCTTTGGTTTCTCCAATTGAGAGATATGCAGTTGTTCCTGATGACAACGTAAGTGTTCTTTCCACAGTCTTCATTGTCTTCATTACTGGTGTTTAAATAGTTGGTTTCTCCAAAAGATCATAATTTGCAACTGTTATCTATTTATTTATAGGTCAAAAGGATAAATTTTGCCGAGGGGAAGATCTGATTCTAGAAGTAAGGAATTTGGAGCTTGATTTTTGAAATAAGCTCAAAATTGAGATCTTGTTGGAATTTTTTTAATTTTTGTAAGAGCATTTAAATATCCAATGTGCTGATTGGTGAATTTTAGATTTTTTTATTATTTTATTTTTTTTTAGGATTTGGGTGAATTTTATAATTTAAATATGCTTTATGAACATGTACAGTTTAATTGTTCTTTGTAAAATATTGAATTTGATGGTTTGATCAATTTAAATTTTTATTTTTATTTTCTGTTATGATGTTTTTGTGAATAGAATGTAAATATCAGCTCTTAGAGAGAGACGACACACCCGTCGGAAAAAATAGAAAATTTTAATATTTTTATTAATTTTGTTACAGGTTTTACTTTTTGCGACGACATTATTGGTCGTAAAAAATAGAAATTTTATTATTCAAAATAGAAATTTATTATTTTTTAATATTTTTTGCGACGGCATTACACTGTCGCAAAAAATAGAAAATTTTATATTTTTTATATTTTTTGGACGGCACCACACCGTCGCAAAAAGTAGTGTTTTTTTTTTTAAAAAAAAGACTATTGGCGACGGTGTTTTTTGCCGTCTCAAATAACTTTTTTAGCGACGGTAAAATAGGGCCGTCGCAAAAAAGTTAAGAAATTTCAAACGTTATTAGCGACTGCATGGTACCGTCGCAAAAAGGTAAAAATGCCGTCGCAAAACATTAGCGACGGCACTTACCGTCGCAAAAACTCTTTTGCAACCCCTGCAGTTGCGACCCTCCTCTTGCCGTCGCAAAAAGTATTAGCGACAGCATTAGGAGTATTAGCGACGGTATTTTACCGTCGCAAAAAGTCAATTTTTTTGTAGTGACATCTGATTTGAAGTATTTCTTCACGTGAGACGCATAAGTGAATACATGTCTTGAAGTTCTAATCCTTTTCTCTTTACTTGAGCATACTTTTAAAGAGATTTGTGCATTCATATCTTGACACTAAAGAATGGCCCTGTTTGGTACAGCTTTTTTTCAGCTTATTTCAGCTTTCAGCTTAATTTAAGCTATTTTGATATGTTTGGTTTAGCTTAACAATGCAGCTTATAGCTTTTTGTAAGTCAGAAATCAGCTTATTCTTTGAGTGGGACAGGAGAAGCTTAATTTATAAGTCAGAAATCAGCTTATGTTCATAGTTATAAGCTATAAGCTGTTAAGGCAAAAACTATAAGCACTTTCCCACAACTCTACCAAACAGGGCCAATGTTCATGTTGCAGGAATGAATTGTTGCTAGCAAAAGTGGTGGTGGATTTTGAAGTGCATACAGAATTTTAATCTCGCTTCCTTAATTGCCTTTCACATATATGTATAATCTTTTTTAAGGCCAACTCTTATTGGGTGTCGCGCACTTATTCTGGGAATCTGTGTCATAAACCAATATTAGTATTCTGGCAATGTGTGAAATTAACATTAGTATTCTGGCCTTACGGAGCCATGCTAGGTACCAAATGCTGCCTTTTTTTTTGTTGATCTATGTTTTTTATGGTGCAGCACTTTACATTGCATATAATATTATTTTAATTAAAGAGATGGAAGTTGTCACAATCATAATCTCATCAGTGTATTTCTTGTATTGCCACTATACTGAAATAGCTGCAGCAGGATTATACAGTTTTTCCAAGTTATATATACATCATGGGAATCGTGTAAGCATTGAAATTTGAGGCAGGTTTAATGGTTTTACTTTGGTTTATACTGTCTTTTTATGTTGGTGTGCTCTCATGAATGTGTCTTTTGGTGGGAGTACAAACTACTAGTATGTCTGAATAGTTTTATTTAATTCATATTATGTTTTATTGAAAATAAGTCATAGTAAAATTATAACTAAAAATAATTTTTTGTAACGATTTTTTACATGTTGCTAAAAATTGATAATTAACGATTTTTTTGTCACAATTTTTATAAATTGTCACTAAAATTTACAATTAGTGGCGTTTTTCTGTGACAAATTTTTCAAACTATCGCTAAAAGTTGAAAAGTAGTGACTTCTTTGTCACGATTTTTTTAAAATGTCGCTGAAACTTATAATTAATGATATTTTTTTGTGGCAAAATTTTTAAATTGTCACTGAAAATTAATAGGGTGTTTGAGATTATCTAAATAAGTATACTTTTTAACTTTTTACAAAAAGATGTGTAAAAAAGTAGAGAAGTGATGTGACTTAAAAAAGATAAAAAGTATACTTTTATAGATTATGCCAAATAGTGTTTATCAATTAGTGACATTGTTTTAATAGTATTTAATAAAAAATATCATTAATTATTATAGGACCTATTGAATAATAAATGTACACGTAAGTCTTCCTAAATAATACTTAACTATCTATCATCAATTGTATATTTTACAGATGAGTATATATTTTACAGATGAGTGTTCACATGAATGCGACCGATAAATTTTGGTTTATGCATCTTTGAGCGTTCAATTGGAGGTGATATTGAAGGAGGCCAAAACCTTGAGAATTCTAGCCAGGCCGAACTCCTTGCTGTCTCACTCATGCGGACCAAACACTCGGAACCATCCAAAATGGGAAGTGGGCCGAACTCGTTCCTTGGGCAAGCCCGCTAGCGTCTACTATCGAAAGCCAAGCCCAACAGCCACATCAATGGGGACCGAAAGGCATCGCTAAGCCCACTTCCAAGGGGACTGAGTTCTCTACTTTGGTTGATTGACCTTAGCCATTCACTAACTTTGTGCGGTCAGGCTGAATGTACGTAAAATCTAACACCGATCTCCTTCGCTAGTCGCTTGCCCAGTCGTAACACCACAACAGTCCAAGTGATATGCTTGGTGCAACAAAATATTCCACCGTACTAGGATACATGACATCTGTAACCCATTATCAATGTTCCATTATCAAGTCTGGTGGAATGTTCGAGTGTAGTGGCACGGTATAAGCACAATGACTTCAAATCATATTTGTTACTTACAATTCGAAGGGGACTAATAGATAGAACAATGTAGGTAAAAGAAGTTAGCAAAATAGACCCATAATTTTAGGAAAATGATTGGCTTTGAGACTGGACACGGGGGTTCCAGTGTTGAACCCATCAATTGTCGATGAATTGCTCAAGCTACTCCCACTGTGAGAATAGGTCATTGCGTGCCCACCGGGGAGCGGACTAGGAATGGTTCCTTGTGAGGCCTTTCCCAGAGGCAGCCAATAGTTGACTTAGAGGGAATTCAATTGTTTAATTAAAACAAAGCATTGCGATTGTTCATGTAGATGCTTATGCAATGTGATTTCTGTCAGCGCTCTAAATGTCAAAGTGAAGAAATTCAACCAAGCGTAGATAAAAAGTGAGAGTAACTATGACTTACTTAAGATAACCAAATGCTTCATCCACTACAAAAAATTTGCTTTTTTTGCGACGGTAAAATACCGTCGCCAATACCAAAGAAGCCGTCTCAAAAGCTTTTTGGCGACGGTAAATAGTTTTTAGCGACGGTAATAGGGGGGTCGCAAAAAAAGGGGTTGCTAAAGGTCTTCAGCAACGGTAAACACCGTCGCAAAATATTTGCGACGCAAAAATGCCTTTTAGCGACGACAAAATACGGTCGCAATTAATGTGTAAAAATCTGCAGACTTTGAGACGGCACTAAAATACCGTCGCTAATATGGTTATTTGCGATGGGAAAATACCGTCGCAAAAGGGTTTATGTGAAACGGTAAAATACCGTCGCTAAAAATAGTTATTTGCGACGGGTTTAGTACCGTCGTTAATACTGTTATTTGCGACAGAGAAGTGTGCCGTCTCTAAAAATATTATTTGCGACGGTGAAAGTACCGTTGCTAAAGGCCTTTTGTTCATATTGCCAATATCATTGGCGACGGTTACGCTACCGTCGCAAAAACCTGGTTCTAACAAAAAATGCAGCAATAAAATTATTAAAAATATGCAAATTACCTGTATTAAATAAAAATAGCTAAAAAAAAATCGATAACTATATAATAATATAAAAATTCCTGTATATAAATAAAATTTCATCCATAATTAAAGTACTCTTCCATTCATAACAACACATCATCAAAATTATCCAACCACATAATTTTACAAAATACATACATAATGTTGTTCACAAATCTAAATACGTAAATCAAAAATAAAAGTTTTCTTCATAAACAAAAGTTTGTCGCAATCTTCACACGACTCCATTCCACAAGAAGCAAACTGCTACTCAGGAAATATCTGAAAATAAAAAATAAAAATAATTAGTAACAATATAATTATGTATTAATATTTTAATTAAAAAAAAACATAAAAATTATTTATTATATAATTACAAAGATAGTTAAGTAAATAATTTTGGCTAGATAGAAATCCGACCCTAACTCCCAAACCAGAAACCCGATTCGAGTCTCGTCATCTCCCACAAGTCTCTCGTGCCTAGGCGATCATGTATGCCAAGTTTCGTGCTAAACCGACCCCATTTGGTGATTTTGGAGCGTCAACACCTCGAATTCAAGTTTCTTAAGGAACTAGTTTGCATACACCGAAATACGGCTCTAACTCCCAAACCGGGAAACCGATTAGCGTCCCGTCTTCTCCCACAAGTCTCTCGTGCCTAGGCGGTCGTGTGTGTCCAAGTTTCGTGCCAATCTGACCCGATTTGGTGATTTTGCGGTGTGAACACCTCGAATTCAAGTTTCTTAAGGAACAAGTTTGCCTAAACCGAAATCTGGCTCTAACTCCCAAACCGGGAAACCGATTGGAGTCCCGTCTTCTCCCACAAGTCTCTCGTGCCTAGGCGGTCGTGTGTGCCAAGTTTCGATCCAATCCGACTCCATTTGGTGATTTTGGGGTGTCAACACCTCGAATTTAAGTTTCTAAAGGAACTAGTTTGCCTAAACCGAAATATGGCTCTAACTCCCAAACCGGGAAACCGATTGGAGTCCCGTCTTCTCCCACAAGTCTCTCGTGCCTAGGCGGTCGTGCGTGCCAAGTTTCATGCCAAACCGACCCCATTTGGTCACTTCGGGGTGTTAACACCTCGAATTTAAGTTTCTTAAGGAACTAGTTTGCCTAAACCGAAATATGGTTCTAACGCCCAAACCGGGAAACCGATTGGAGTCCCGTCTTCCCCCACAAGTCTCTCGTGCCTAGGTGGTCGTGTGTGCCAATTTTCGTGCCAATCCGACCCCATTTGGTGATTTTGGGGTGTCAGCACCTCGAATTAAAGATTTTTAAGGAACTAGTTTACCTAAACCGAAATATGGCTCTAACCCCCAAACCGAAAAACCGATTCGAGTCCGTTCTTCTCCCACAAGTCTCTCGTGCCGAGGCGGTCGTGTGTGCCAAGTTTCGTGCCAATCCAACCCCATTTGGTGATTTTGGGGTGTCAACACCTCGACTTTAAGTTTCTTAAGGAACTAGTTTGCCAAAATCGAAATATGGCTCTAACTCCCAAACCGGGAAACCGATTGGAGTCCCGTCTTCTCCCACAAGTCTCTCGTGCCAAGGCGGTCGTGTGTGCCAAGTTTCGTGCCAATCCGACCCCATTTGGTGATTTTGGGGTGTTAAAACCTCGAATTTAAGTTTCTTAAGGAACTAGTTTGCCAAAACCGAAATATGGCTCAAACGCCCAAACCGGGAAACCGATTGGAGTCCCGTCTTCTCCCACAAGTCTCTTGTGCCCAGGTGGCCGTGTGTGCCAAGTTTCGTGCCAATCCGACCCCATTTGGTGATTTTGGGGCGTCAACACCTCGAATTCAAGATTTTTAAGGAACTAGTTTGCCTAAACCGAAATATGGCTCTAACTCCCAAACTGGGAAACCGATTCGAGTCCCGTCTTCTCCCACAAGTATATCGTGCCTAGGCGGTCGTGTGTGCCAAGTTTCGGGCCAATCTGACCCCATTTGGTGATTTTGGGGTGTCAACACCTCGAATTTAAGTTTCTTAAGGAACTAATTTGCCTAAACCGAAATATGGATCTAACTCCCAAACCAGGAAACCGATTGGAGTCCCGTCTTCTCCCACAAGTCTCTCGTGCCTAGGTGGTGGTGTGTGCCAAGTTTCCTGCCAATCCGACCCCATTTGGTGATTTTGGGGTGTTAACACCTCGAATTTAAGTTTCTTAAGGAACTAGTTTGCCTAAACCGAAATATGGCTCTAACGCCCAAACCGGGAAACCGATTGGAGTCCCGTCTTCTCCCACAAGTCTCTCGTGCCTAGGCGGTCGTGTGTGCCAAGTTTCGGGCTAATCCGACCCCATTTTGTGATTTTGGGGTGTGAACAGCTCGAATTTTAGTTTCTTAAGGAACTAGTTTGCCTAAACCGAAATATGGCTCTAACGCCCAAACCGGGAAACCGATTGGAGTCCCATCTTCTCCCACAAGTCTCTCGTGCCTTGGCGGTCGTGTGTGCCAAGTTTCGGGCCAATCCGACCACATTTGGTGATTTTGGGGCGTCAACACCTCGAATTTAAGTTTCTTAAGGAACTAGTATACCTAAACCGAAATATGGTTCTAACTCCCAAACTGGGAAACTGATTGGAGTGTCATCTTCTCCACAAGTCTGTCGTGCCTAGGCGGTCGTGTGTGCCAAGTTTCGTGCCAATCCGACCCCGTTGGGTGATTTTGGACCGTTAACACCTCGAATTCAAGTTTTTTAAGGAACTAGTTTGCCTAAACCGAAATATGGCTCTAACTCCCAAACCGGGAAACCGATTGGAGTCCCGTCTTCCCCCACAAGTCTCTCATGCCTAGGCGGTCGTGTGTGCCACGTTTCATGCCAATCCAACCCCATTTGGTGATTTTGGGGTGTTAACACCTCGAATTTAAGTTTCTTAAAGAACTAGTTTGCCTAAACCAAAATTTGGCTCTAACGCCCAAACCGGGAAACCGATTGGAGTCCCGTCTTCTCCCACAAGTCTCTCGTGCCTAGGCGGTCGTGTGTGCCAAGTTTCGTGCCAATCCGACCCCATTTTGTGATTTTGGGGTGTGAACAGCTCGAATTTTAGTTTCTTGAGGAACTAGTTTGCCTAAACCGAAATATGGCTATAACACCCAAACCGGGAAACCGATTGGAGTCCCATCTTCTCCCACAAGTCTCTCGTTCCTAGGCGGTCGTCTGTGCCAAGTTTCGTGCCAATCCGACCCCATTTTGTGATTTTGGGGTGTGAACACCTCGAATTTTAGTTTCTTGAGGAACTAGTTTGCCTAAACCGAAATATGGCTCTAACACCCAAACCGGGAAACCGGTTGGAGTCCCGTCTTCTCCCACAAGTCTCTCGGTCCTAAGCGGTCGTGTGTGCCAAGTTTTGTGCCAATCCGACCCCATTTGGTGATTATGGGGTGTCAACAGCTCGACTTTAAGTTTCTTAAGAAACTAGTTCGCCTAAACCGAAATATGGCTCTAACTCCCAAACCGGGAAACCGATTGGAGTCCCGTCTTCTCCCACAAGTCTCTCGTGCCTAGGCGGTCGTGTGTGCCAAGTTTCGTGCCAATCCGACCCCGTTGGGTGATTTTGGGGCGTTAACACCGCGAATTCAAGTTTTTTAAGGAACTAGTTTGCCTAAACTGAAATATGGCTCTAACTCCCAAACCGGGAAACCGATTGGAGTCCCGTTTTCTCCCACAAGTCTCTCGTGCCTAGGCGGTCGTGTGTGCCATGTTTCGTGCCAATCCGACCCCGTTGGGTGATTTTGCGGCGTTAACTCCTCGAATTCAAGTTTTTTAAGGAACTAGTTTACCTAAACCGAAATATGGCTCTAACTCCCAAACTGGGAAACTGATTGGAGTCCCGTCTACTCCGATAAGTCTCTCGTGCCTAGGCGGTCGTGTGTGCCAAATTTCGTGCCAATCCGACCCCGTTGGGTGATTTAGGGGCATTAACACCTCGAATTCAAGTTTTTTAAGGAACTAGTTTGCCTAAACCGAAATATGGCTCTTACTCCCAAACCTGGAAACCGATTAGAGTCCCGCTTTCTCCCACAAGTCTCTAGTGCCTAGGTGGTCGTGCGTGCCAAGTTTCGTGCCAATCCGACCCCATTTGTTGATTATGGGGTGTCAACACCTCGAATTTAATTTTCTTAAGGAACTACTTTGCCTAAACCAAAATATGGCTCTAACTCCCAAACCGGGAAACCGATTGGAGTCCTGTCTTCTCCTACAAGTCTCTCGTGCCTAGGCGGTCGTGTGTGCCAAGCTTCATGCCAATCCAACCCCATTTGGTGATTTTGGGATGTGAACACCTCGAATTTAAGTTTTTTAAGGAACTAGTTTGCCTAAACCGAAATATGGCTCTAACGCCCAACCCGGGAAACCGATTGGAGTCGCGTCTTCTTCCACAAGTCTCTCGTGCCTAGCCGGTCGTGTGTTTCATGTTTCGTGCCAATCCGATCCCATTTGGTGATTTTGCGGTGTCAACACCTCGAATTTAAGTTTCTTAAGGAACCAGTTTGCCTAAACCGAAATATGGCTCTAACTCCCAAACCGGGAAACCGATTGGAGTCCCGTCTTCTCCCACAAGTCTCTCGTGCCTAGGCAGTCGTGTGTGCCAAGTTTCGTGCTAATCCGACCCCATTGGGTGATTTGGGGCGTCAACACCTCGAATTCAAGTATTTTAAGGAACTAGTTTGCCTAAACCGAAATATGGCTCTAACTCCCAAACCGGGAAACCGATTGAAGTGTCGTCTTCTCCCACAAGTCTCTCGTGCCTAGGTGGTCGTGTGTGCAAAGTTTCGTGCCAATCCGACCACGTTGGGTGATTTTGGGGCGTTAACACCTGGAATTCAAGTTTTTTAAGGAACTAGTTTGCCTAAACCGAAATATGGCTCTAACTCCCAAACCAGGAAATCGATTGGAGTCCCATCTTCTCCCACAAGTCTCTCGTGCCTAGGTGGTCGTGTGTACCAAGTTTCGTGCCAATCCGACCCCATTTGGTGATTTTGGGGTGCCAACACCTCGAATTTAAGTTTCTTAAGGAACTAGTTTGCCTAAACCGAAATATGGCTCTAACTCCCAAACCGGGAAACCGATTGGAGTCCCGTCTTCTCCCACAAGTCTCTCATGCCTAGGCGGTTGTGTGTGCCACGTTTCGTGCCAATCCGATCCCATTTGGAGATTTTGGGGTGTGAACACCTCAAATTTAAGTTTCTTAAGGAACTAGTTTGCCTAAACCAATATATGGCTCTAACGCCCAACCCGGGAAACCGATTGGAGTCCTGTCTTCTCCCACAAGTCTCTCG